GCTGGCGTTCTAGTAGGTCGTTTGTTGGGACAAAATTCAATACCATCATTGCGCTACGAACAATGTTACAGATGGCCAACAACACAACAACCTGTTTGCTGCCTTCACATAGCGACTTGTTGATGTAGCAATGGAGCATGAACAACGCTGGAAATGGTAGCATTCCCAAAATATCTGAGCTGGCAGGAACAGTATGTGGTTCAAACAGTCCCATACTGGACTGTCAGGCACAACAGCTTGGATTTGGCTGGGCCGCGCTACCACAGTTTTTGTCCGGAAGGTCAAGAGGTCTTTAATGGATGTTACCAGACGACGCAGGTATATGGAGGTTGGATTTGTCAAAGCCAGCTTCGGGTTGAGGATATCATCTGAGTACACTGGAAAAAGGCATTCCGTCATAACATCGCGCCGGGTCTCACAATGTTCAGGATTGGACACCATCCAGTCTTGTGACTAAAGCGTCGAAGAGTATAGACTTCAAGTGTAACTGTCCATCGCCCAAGTTCATATGATCGATCCTGGATTTGGTCACTCGTTCACTAATCATCCGGTACACTGGAACCGGTTGATGAAGAAGAAATAAACTCAATAAAGACAAAGGGCTCAGTCGCATACACACGAGACCAAAGTAATCTCTTCATAGAACCCAATCGAATAGGCCATATGATGAGGGATATAGCCAAGGATGGAACAGTTATTACGCAAGGTACGTGTGCACCCTTTGCTCGAGCCCATCCATCATTCGAGGTCGTTGTCCTCCAAACCTCGAACTGGCGCTGAACGACTACCAGCAACATACCAAAAGACAAAGCAAGACACGGAGGTTGTGCCTGGGTACGAAAATCTTTGTCACCGAATAGAGAGATGCCGTCCGCAGCTGACCAGATTGTCTACTCCGAGGGCTACCGGGACTGGACAGGTCCCAAAAGACCTTGCTAACTAACATAGGAAGGCACATCCCCTAAGTCTAAACTCCTGCCGAGTAGTTGAGTTGCACTCTTTCTCAGCACGACTCATCGAAAGCAAATCGCCATTTACCGAGTCAATCCACTCTGTCTCATGACAAAACCGACTCGCAATCCCGGGCTGCGATAGAGGGGCCGTCACTTTCATCGTTCTCGTTAACACGACATGTCCCCGGCAGCACACATAATGATTATTCGGGAGCTTAGTCATGCCGGTATGTTGTCGATTGCATGATTCCGTTGATAATAAATGGAACTGCCGGGAGTGGATTAGGAGACGGTAATGCTTTTTTAACCTTTGAAACTTGGCTGATTCTTGAGTCATGGCCCAAAATGAGTCCCCGTTGTGAGGCGCTCGTATAGCGGATACATGCAACGTTCTCTGCTCGCATTTTGTTCGCATTCCTCCTCACAGTCGGGTCTCGTCAAAGGGCTTTAGGGTCAATTGCGGAGCCACTTGGATGCGAAAAGCCTCGGTAATCAAAAGTCAGTCACATCATTATTAGTATAGAGCCTCTTGGGGGAGTTCCACTCGGGTCTCATCCGGCTTTTTCGGATTCAACGAGACCGGGGGCTAGCCGTCAACTTGAGTCTCGACTACTAGTACTTGACAAGACTAGAAAGCGCTAGGTCAAAGCCGCAGAACTAAGTCAACATGCCAGATCCATGATAATAGGGCTCCTTGTGTTGCTCTCGCAAACTCCCCTTTGGTCAGTTGACTTGCCTTGTTCAGAAACTGCCAAGTCTAGATGATTTTGGTCACGATGTATTCAAGCACGCTTAGAGTTGACTCGGGCCCCACTGGGGATTGCGCGCTGCGCCCAGATCGCACGCGCAGCTGTTCGGCACTCATCTGTTGGCTTGGTTAGCTCGGAAACATCGGATTGAGGCGGTAGTTCTTGAAGAACTGATATGGAATCGGGCACGTGGCGTCCTACGAGAACGGCATTGCCCAATTCGAATCGTTCAGGGAAATCATACCGGTATGCCTATCACCTAGGCGCTGCACTAGGCGAATAGGTAACAAAATACGTAAGTTCGTATACTAGTAGAAACGGAATACTAAGCGGCGTGGGGTTGCACAACATACTTCCGGCAGGCGAGAATTGCCAGAAGACTGAGTTTCAGGCAAAGGCAAAAGCTCGAAGGGGTCATAACACTGCCTTGACCGGGTGGCCCGTGTCGTGGGTCTGGGTGCTGGTACATAAGCATAGTAGGCTGTAAGGTAAGGAACCAATTTCCTTACTTGGGCAATACTCGCCCAGGACATACACCCAGACAGTAGACTGAGTCATGGCTAGTCTACTGAAACTTGGTATAATCTAGGGGCTGTCTCTTCGATGATGCCGTAAACAACCCTGGGAGAGTATGGGATGCCGAGACCGAGTCTATCGCGTTAAGCCCACACTCAACTTGACACCCATCCTCATCCATTATCCGGGCTGGCTAAGCCTTGTGCGGCAAATATAGTGCCTTGTTATCGGAAATAGTACTCCCACGCCTACATCCAGGGCGGTGGGCCGCGGATGGCCGAGTTTGAAACATGGACAAGTCGGGTAGGTAGAAGCTGTAAAACTTAGTCCTAATGCCAAAGAGCCCCGGACGCACCACTACGTCCTGTATAGGTAAAGGGTAATATAACGGAACTCAGCGATGGAAAGCAAGTTATGAATAGAAGAGTCAGGATTGGCCTCCTAGTCGACAGACTATAATGTCAATTGTCAAGTGGATGAGTCGTGCGTCGCGTAATTGAACAAATGACCAGAGCCCACTGGGGATAAAGTTCTTTGGCCAGGCCGAGGCCACAAGAATAAACCACTTCATTTTCAGAGACGCCTCATGTCGACTAAGAGATCTAAAGTTCGGTAAGCGGGGTCGCATTTCCTGTCAAAGAAGTTTGACTGATTGACGCTTTGCTGTAGAGAACCGCGGCCGGATTATGCTGTAATGGGCTGTCGGGGAAGGAGCGCCCGCGCTCAGCTGGTGTTTTGAAAGACAGAAGAAAGTCAAGTGCTCCACTCAATGACGAGACCTCAACGGATATCCGTCTCTTATTCGGTCCCGACACCTCCTCCCTCCATGGCTCGAGTAATTTGCGCGGCGGAGCTTCAAAGGAGAGTAAAGTTGGAATAGTCGAGGTCCCACCCATGCAGCAATACTGATACCTGAAGATGATGACGATGCAAAGACGGCGTCTTATTTTATCGCGGTGGCATCCTGGTGCAGTGTGACAGCTTACACGGAATCTAAAATCAGAAAGATGCATAACAAGGCTGATGAATAAGCATAGGCGACATGGTAGAGTAAAGGTAGTACTGCCACCGGTCTCGATGCGCCAGTAACACACCGGTACAGCCACGAACTAAGATGAGGACCGTGTGCACTCATACAAAGTGCCTTAGCTGAAGTATAACCCTTAAGCTTTGGCGACAGATAAAGTGTGTACGGCACACCAGGGGCCTGTCATCTAGTGGCTGAGGGCGCCAGGCGTCCCCAATTACCTTAGTAGAAGTGTAATAACAGAGCAACGTTGGAGGGGTATCCAATCAAGACGAACGATCCCAACATCAGTACGCTCCAATCGTCATTAAACTCGCCATATTCGAAATGTCATATTGGCAAAGCATGCAGTCTTCCACAGTCACAGTTCTGCGCCTTAAGGTGTGACGCAGTTCTGCGCCTTATGTGTGACGGATTCAAGACCTAAAGTAAGAACAAGTAGGGGAAACATACATTGACTCCACAGCACGCCAGACGTAAAAAAAAAAAAAAAAAAAAAAAAAAACCCTCCTAAGCCGATCAAATAGACACGTTGAGCCGGCGATTAGTGAACCATCTTGGTTACTCATTAAAGACGACCGTCCACCAGTGAGGCGCATCTCTCTACCTTGACAAGGACCATGCCAACAGTTCAGGATAAAATAAGGACACACATCTTGTACTCGTACGTATGCACATATCTACATACGTATCAGTAATTTATTTATTTTTTTCATTTTTTTTTCCCTAATCCCCATGGAGCCGAAACAAAGGTAAAGAAACCCTGTAGCCCACCCTCATAATACTTTGTAAATTACCGTCCGAGTCACCTAAAGGTCGTAATAACCAGCCAAGGAGAAGAGAGAACGCATCCGTCCTATCCGTCCCGTACTCGAAACCCAACCAATCAGCTAGGCGTGTAAAATCGGAAATTTCCCAAACGTTAATAAAGTCAATTCGATTCGGGAAACTATTTGCGCCGGACGAGCCAAAAAGCCGCGAATGGCCCGGCTCCGCGATGCGACACAGGCGGAGGAACCTTGGCGGGAATAAGTGGAGGGGGCGTTTGTGCGTGCCCTGCAGTACCTCCCTCCTCCTCCTCCTCCTCCTCCACCTCCGGAACCGAGCACAGTCCCTGGATACTGTTATTCTTCTTCGACGCCAAGAAAAGAGGCTTTACAGGGTGCCAAACGTTAATAAGCGGTTAGGTGTCAAGTTTAGGTTTTACTTCTAACATGCATACGACCGCGGAAATTGTTGCCAACTACAGTTGAGGAAGCGCGCTCATTTTTTACCTGCTTTGGCACCAGATTTCTAGCACACTTGGGGAAGTCCACCCGATAGGGCCAGCAATCTTATTCCCCCAGATTATACTGGCCACTACTGTTCCGAGTACCTCAGAGACCCCGAGTCGTGGCTAATCAGACACGCCCAAGGTCGCTGCGCTTGCTGCTCCTGTGTTTCTGCTATTGAGACTGTGATTAGAAGAGGAAAAAAAAAAAAAATTAGAGAAGAGAAAAAAAGATGGAAAAACCACTCTATTTGGCAACGTCTTCATCACGCGAGACCAGATAGTCCTCAGCAACTTGAGAGGATCGCCTTATCTTACTGTGCCTACTTCCAACCAATAACTCCAGTGTGATCGAGCTTTCTATGCCCGAAACCGTGACCAGTGCAACCCAAAACTCAGAAACTAGAACCAGAAACCAGGGTATCTCCACCACGCTCAACGCAAAATGACAAACGTCTACCGTCCACCGGCAGTCACAAAGGCCATCAAGCAATCTCCGACTCTGCCATGGCCGGAACGTCAGGCGATTCATACTCATCCCAAGCCTTCTCAATGAGATTCCTGCCCGTTGTCAGTTTTCATTCCACATGTTTTAGCCTTTGGTAATACTCACGCCTCCGTCTTGACCACTTCGATGCCCTTCTTGCGGCAGAAAACCAAAAACCGCCGTTTGGTCCTTGACCGCTTGAATTCCGCAAGAATGTCTCCTCTCGGCTTACCGTCTGGTGACGGTACAACGCCTGGTTTACAGACCACAATAATCTTTTCCGTGTCGGCGGCCCACCTCATCTCTTCGATATGATCCAATTCCAGATGAAAGTTAATCGGCTTAGCGTAGATGCCCCAGGTGAAATTATCACCCTCTGCAAGAACCTGATGCTCAAACACCTGTTCACCGTCGTCTGGAATCCAATGCCAGTACTGAGTCACGCCCGTGCCCACTGTGTTCAGTCGCGACTTGATCCGATGTAGGGCCCAGTCATGTTTACCGATTGAGTCTCTGCTGTAGTCGTCGACGTCGGTGTATCCATCGTAGCTGAGATCCGTATCCATAGACTTGCTGTGAGATCGTTCTTTGAGCCTCTTCGCAGCCTTCGCAAGGTCAGGTGTTGATGGGGCACTAGCATCCGTGTCTTCTTGCTGAAGATGGGTCTGAATTTGGGGCGAAGGCGTCGGTGCGAGGGGCCGTTGCTGCTGCTGCATACCAGGAAATTCCTCGCTGACGAAAAGCTTTCGTTTTTTCGCGTTCGGCGTCATCTTGGACGAGTTTGGCGAGTCCTTGGGCGTCATCTTGATGCCTGATGGCCTACCGATGCTCTTCTTACCATTGGCATGTCGTAGGTCGACATATTTGCGGTCATGGTAGAAGTCGTGAATAATCTTGGCCAAATTGAATTCGGGTCCGCTTTCAATAATGAGCTCGTGCAGGCGCTGGCGAAGCCACTCGAGTGGGGTGATGTCGAGCGTTTTGAAACCCTCCAAGTTCTTCAACGTGTCTGCTAGGCGGAAGACAGTATCGTAGGATACCAACCTCTGTGTAATATACTTCTTAGATATCAGCTGATAAGGGTTGAAGTTTCCTTCCTTCAAAAACTTCATTATGAGTTCACCCCGGTTAACCTGCCGGCCGAGCTGGAACTTCATGCCCGTTTGTCCGTTTCGGAGCGCAGTGTCCAGCTTCGCTCGCCAGCTCTCCAAAGTAAGCTCAACCATTGGCGCTATCTCTGGCCAAGAAGGGTCCCAGTAAGGGTGGTTGGGATCAATCTTCTCAACAGGGACGCCTTGCATGCACTCTGGGTGGGTGTAGACGTTGCCGTCATGCTTGAGAAGTAGATTGGCCTGAGTAATCGGTGTGTGGTCCTCTTCCGCTGTCTCATCGGTGACCGTCGATCCCACCGTGCTTTTGTCCCGAGAAACTGGTCGACTAAATGACATGGGAGTAGCCGTGCCGTTTGTGTAACCATCATCTTGGCTCAACAATTTGGCATGGTGAGGCATGGGCGGTGGCCGCTCTTCGAGTGATATGCCCACGCACCTTTTCTTCTCCCAATAGCAATTTCCGCAAGTCCCAAACCCTTCGGCGACAACGCAGTTCGCAAAGGGGCCGTCTCCTTGGGCACACAGGCTGCAATGTCGTGGCGGCGGATGAAATTCACCAGTAGCTTGTATCATAGCTGCAATCCATAGGTCTTTGTCCTCGTGGAGTCTTATCAACTCATGCTGGCCAAAGTGTACGCCCCGGCGCAACTGTACGACCCTCTTAGGGGCTCTATCGAGAAGTAAGGCGGCGTTGCCTCCCACTGCGATGCGGTGAACAGGTCCCAGAGCTTGGCCCGCGGCATCGGTAATAATGGTCACTGGCGCCTTTTCTGGAATGCTGGGAATTGGTGGCGGCGTAGGTATCTTGCCGTTTTGCTCTCCGTTCGTGCTTACACCATTGGGCTCAGCTCCATTGGCGATGTCACTAGTCTGCGACCGGTCGGTGCTTTCAGGATCGCACCGCGAGGCACCGAGGGCAGCAGTCGCTATCCTAGCGCGCTCGTCATTTTCTCTGCGTCGATGAGCGCTGAAGTAAGCCTGCATCTGTTGAATCCTTGCTTCGCGTACCATGCGGACATTCTGTCTCTCTTCATGGATGCTGTAAGTAAGATCCTCTAGGAGAGCATGCTCCCTGGCAATGGCTTTGTGGTTTTCAAGGGCACGCATCTCGAGCTCCCGCTTTTCCTGGTTCAGGATATCCAGGCGATGGCGAGCTTCGCCGGCTTTTGCCATGAACATCCGATCAAGCTGCTCATCTTCGAGCTCCTGGGACAGACGTAAAGTCTGCCAGTAGTTCTCCTCGTCTTGGAGGGTTGGCCCCTTGCCGTCACCCTTGTCGAAATGCATGGCGAAGGTGGCCAGATAAGAGCGAAGAGATGTAAAAGGTCAATTCAGAAGAATATAAAGCAGGCGAAGGGTGGGAACACGGCGACGTGGTTCATTCAAAGCTGATTTACCTCGTTACCGAGGAGCTGTTGGGGAGGAGTGTCGAATTTACTCTAGCACACATGCATAGGCGGTCTAGTAGTAGGCAAGGGCTGCGGTTTCGCATCAAAGAGAGCTTAGTAAAAAGAAATGGCAGTAGCTTCGAGTATTTAAGAATCCCAGACGTCGCTTGTGTCGATCAATCCGCGACGGGTCGGGTGCGGTTCCCGTGCGTAGTGACAGCGAAATGCGGGCGGACTCTGAATCAAGGTTTGGTCGGGTAAAGGATGGTGAGATGAAAAGAAGTGTGTATTGATGGTACAAAGGTGATATTCGCCGGGTAAGATGGAATCGATAGGCCCCGGGCGGAATGTGGGCGCGATATCAGGCGGCGTCAGAATAGGACTGGACTGCCAACTGCTAGTGAGTGTGTGTCCTGGGTAGGAAAGATTCAGCGCTAGTGGGTGCAGGGGACAACCACGAAAAGGTGCTGTATATATCGGTTGTATCGTTCAGGAGACGTTAATAAGGATTGCATAGGCCAGGTTGCTATGCTTCGCTATGCCTTGCTATGCTTTGCTATGCTTTACTAAGGTTGAGCACGGGCAAAATGGCGGCAATGCCGGGGAGGCAGGCGACCGCAAGACCGACCTTTAGTGTAGTGCGATTTATTTGGGGGGGAGGACAAAAACGCAATCCACTATGCTATGAAACGTGCAAGTCGTTTGTGGGCACTCCTCTGGTCTAATGCTTGAAGATACTGGCGCAATCGTCGCAATCAGAGTATCGCGTGTTTGCACGTGATTTTGCGCAAGAGGTGACCCTGTCCGGCTGAGCGTCCCTTTGGGGGGGTGGCGGCACAGCAAAGGGAGAAATGAGAGATAGGCAGGTCGCACTATTGGATGTGGGACGGGGATCAGTTCGCTGTTGATGTCTCCGTACAGATAGTGCAGTAGTTTGATTGCGGAGATGTCGGGGAGGAGGAGAAGTAAAACGGGCGAGAGATGAGATGCAAGGGAAAAGAAAAGAGTGTTAAGTGACGAGAGAGAAAGGGAAAGGGCAAATAAGGGTTGAAAGGAAAAACTGAAAATTCAGAAAAATCAAACAAAGGGAAGAAGGCAGGACCAACTGGCCAAATGCATGAGATTTGATTTCTTGGCCTTACCCTACCTCCCTGGATTTTTTTATTATTTTTTTAAGCAAATGTCGTTATCGGCCGTTCATAGGCACCCCCCTCAAAAAGCAACATAGTTCCTAAGTCCTAGTGCATTGCCTTGACTGTGCATGTAGCTTTGCCATACTAAAAAGTATCTGGGACATGCATACGCTGGCACTTTTGAATTAGGAAATCCGCTTACTCCTAGTCCCTTGACTTTAGTTATGGGGGGAGGAAAGGGTTGAAGGGGGAGCGGGGGCAATACATATTGCTAGGGCGATATACAACAGTAAATTAATGTACTACAGCAATGACACGTGACTTACGTAACGTGCGAGAAAAGCCCCTTAGCTTCGAACTAGCGCATCCCGATAACAGATTTGATGGGCCCGATAAGAATTCCTCCACTTCTTCCCTCCTCCCTCTTCCTCTGTCCTTCCCTCCCTCCAGTTTGTGGTCCCTGAGGCACTTAGTGTACTGTCTACTATTTGCCTCCACTCACCTCCACCCTCCGTGACCAACCTAATGTGACTACACATAGTACCCTCAACCATCTCGCATTCGGAGCGAGGTGACCTGACTAGCCCATGTTTCGAGTTTCTCGTTCTGTTGTACACACTAAGTTGCTTGATTAATCATATTGTGACGTAGACACCTTAATTCAACAAGGTTTGTCCAGGAATTTGTCAAGAGTTAATCATGTCTCCGAAGTGGCTGGCCAGGCCCGCATTGTCAAACGCCCTAAGAACATGCCCTACTAGATACGGTAGGTAGATAGTGTTGAGCTTTCCCTTCACTGGCACCAAACCTACCTACCTACCCGAGGGGTAGAGTTGCTGCTACCCCATAGTTCCGAATGCACTGCTGCTAGCCATCCATGTCTGCCCACCTTGGCGTACGACTTTGGAACAGTTTTCTTGTATCATGATGGAATTAGACTATGTACTATGAATACCCGCTGGCATCAGTACCTATACGTTTTAATGTTATTACCCTCCTCTTTGTCATTTTACAACCGATCCCGCGTCGGGTGCTCACGGAGCCTAGAAACTCAAAGAAAACCCGTGAGTTGCCGTGGCTTAGTTACCGCATCCCGAACTGGAAAGACAGTTTTTCCCAAACGCCGCTCCGACCCAATGCTCCTGTCGTCATCATCCAAGACGCAGCACGACGTAAACAGATGAATAAGTGCCAATTCCTTACGAACCGGCAACTTCCAGAAACCCTGTCAAGAAAACTCGCTATGAAAAACTCCTACTTGTCTAAAGTCAACCAACCATTGCCCAACCAAACCACTTTGTTTGCTCAGTATCTAACTGAGTTTCGCGCCGGGGACGGAGCGTATGTGTGATCATAGCCGCTGGCTTGGCCGTACGGATCATCCGCATAAACCGTCGCACGTCGGTCTTCCTCAGGCAACAACTCTTTAACTTCCCAGTTGTTCATCCTAGTGCCAACCGAGAACTCAAGGTCCTCGCGAGTAATAGAATCCCAGTACTGCAAAGGAAACAAAGTTAACAGTTGTAGATTAGTTTTTAAAACGCAAGTACATACCTTGTACACCATCATGACACCCAGGAGGTTGCAGATAGTGGCGAAGAAGAGCCCATCAAGATAATGGCTGACACCGGTACAAATCTGCGTGCTTACGGCGTACAAAATGACCTGACCAACGACGAAGAAAAAGACGCCGAACGCGATATCACCCAATGGCCATCGGTCTTGCAGAGTCCTAACAACAAGAAGAATTTGGAGGGTGACATAGACGAAGAGCTCAATGGCGTTCAAGAGGTAGAGGACGACGAATAGACCGACGGTGTTGGTGGGACCGAGGCCTGCCCAACCCTTGAACGTGGCGAGCGAAACCAGGAAGCAGATAGCGAATGCTACCAAGGAGCAAACTCGGAGCAGCCACACCGACAGCGGGGTGCCATCCTCGTAGAGCTGGAACCCAACGAAGCCGTTAATCAATAGAGTCGTAACCAAAGCTGACGTTAAGCCATTCTGTACTGATACAAAATACGGATACGGAGCTGAGCCTGGGGGCACAACGCCGGCGTCGAGGCAGAGAGAGATGAAACTGAGGAGCATGTACAGGTAGAAGAACATGAGGATTTCCTTGCGACCTGAGAGCATATGTCAGTTTGGTTTGCTATTGCGCTGGTATCTAGGAGCTGACATACCGACGGCAGTAAACTTGCCGCGAATGTGCAGAATCATAACCACGGTCATGAGGAGAGCGACGATGTGCATAGCGCTGGCAGCACCCTCGAAAATAATGGTGTTCGCGAGTTCAATGTTACGCGCGTAGCAGTCCGGCTCAATGCCGACGCCGCTTGTCACCTCCGTAATGGGACCGATGGATGCGCACAATGGCAGTGGCGCCATGTGGCAGATGTTGGTGAAGTCGCCGAAGCCAGACATGTTGGATAATCTGGCCGTCCTACGACGACGACGCTGGTAGTGCAATCGAGGTCAAAGGGCCCTGGTCGAGGTTTGCAGAGGGGCGGTTATGGATGTCGTCAAAAATCTGCGAGGGTTTGGTGATGATAGCGATGTCGAGTGATGGACAGACGAGTTGGAGGCCAAGCGATGGAAGTATATGAACTACGAATGTAGGGCGTCGTGAGAAGACTGGCGAGGTGCAGCCGGGCCGTCACAAACGATGGTGAAGATAGCGCGGACAGGTGAGAGATGTGTATTGGGTCGGCGGCCAACGAGACCTTGACGGGGTATCGTATCGTGAGATCGGAAGGCCGAGCGAGACGTCGCAAGGGAACAAGAATGCGGGACGGTCGTCAGGGTTAGTTAGAAGCGATCGGGAGACGATGACGATTACGGAGACTGTCTGAATTTGAGAGCCGGCGAGAATGGATCGGAGCGAGAGTGCGGGAACGAACGACTGGACAGTAACCTGTTTGACGTGAGGTTGAAAGTCCAGGGGGGGATGCAGTGAACGAGCGGTTGCTGGCCGACGAGCAGACGCTGACGGGGAGGTTGGAAAGGCGTTGCTGTGGAAAAGGAGAGGGAGAGTCCACTCGTGGCAGGGCAGGTGCTGGCAAAGATCAGGTTCCCAGCGGAGGGCGGACGGTGCCTTCCCTGTCTTAGCCTATTTTGGCGGAGGAGGCAGGGGCGGCAGCTGAGGAGAGAAGGGACCACAACATCGAATTCCTGCTGGTTCGCAGCCAGGAAGGGCCTATGACCAGGCAAGAACCTTGGGGGGAGGAGCGGGAGGGAGTGGGGCCACTTGCAGTGTTTTTACAGTTGGAAAGAGCCACGCATCAACACCAAAGGGGGCTTTGATGGACTAAAGGCGCCCCCAACGTCCAATAAAAGCCATGAGATACCTTTGTTTGAGGCTTCTGAGTGGCTGCTTCGTGACTTTTCCTATTTTTTGCTCGTCGCTTACTGGGCGACTTAACCTAAATGGGACACAACCCCCTGTTTACTCTCTTTAAGCGAGAGCAAATCTTCCCGGCTAGCTCGAACACGAGGCCCCGCCGCCCCTTCCAACACGATCCATCACTATTGCGCTGCCACTGCTAAGGACTCTGGCATCCAGCTGTCGCCAGTTGACGTCTATAAAGAAGCTGGTATGGGCAGTCTCGATGATGATATCTCCTCGGCTTCAATCTGGTCATTGATTGCGAGCTCCATCACCAACCCGACACTGCTGTGTTCTGAATGTCCTAGTCTACCGCGCGAGAACTTCTTGAAACAGGATACCCTTGGAGACACCAACAAACTCCCGCTGTCAGTTTTCGAAGCACGTTCTTCCCGCGTCGTCCAGTCAAACATCGCATGGTTTCGTCCCAACTCATCAAACTCTCATGCTGCTCTGATGCCTGCAGCAAACGGGATGTGGCGGTTCGTGAAGCATTTTCTCATCAAACGGCTGGCTTGATCAATCACTTTTCCCCGACTGCTGCCAGCCAAGAGCACCATTGCGTCGCCCTTTGCCTAGTTGAACAATCGAAACCATCGTCTCAGCCCTCCATTCTGTTGAAACAGCCCCCCCCCCCCCCCCCCCAACGCAGCACTCCTCTGCATTGTGACGCTACTCGGCAGATGGCTTGGCCCACTGCCACCCATCCCATCTTCTCAACGGCTTTCTTGCCGTCTGTCATTGCTGTCCGACAGCAAGAGAAGCCAAATTTGCATGTTAATGGGATCTGTGGCTCGCATCGGATATTCCACCCAGGTGCCAAGCACCTTGTCGTATCACGAACCACTACTCTTGGTCGGCCATCTTTCCTTCCAACGATGGATGGCAGACTACTGAATACACGGTGCTATTCTTCATTTCAGGGCAAGGCTTTTCATTGTTTTCTGCCTGATCTTGCTTCAACAGTGGGTCTATATTCATTCAAATGAAATCGTTGGCTACCTATAAAAGGAATGACCGAGACTTCGCCATAGGCCAGAGTTGGCCGGTTACAGCAGCCTCTCTGCGGATTAACATCTTCCACAGAAGCCCCATAAAATTGTCGCGTCGTAGTTTGGGATATCAGATTTGTCCCAACTTCAGACTCGTCCTTATATCAGTTGACGGAAGTGCTCGGACGTATGCACTAACAACGGCGCAATTTCCCTGGACAGCTAAGTGGAAATGAACCATTGCACAACTGGAACACCGATGTGAGCCATGCAGTAATAATGAAGTACCTAGTCCAAGAAAACATAACAGTTATGATTGACTAACTTATACAGTCATGGCAGCTGGAGTTTCTAGTCGTGCAGAGCAGCATCGTTGTCGATTGATTACAAGGTCACCTCTGCAGTCGATCAACAACGCTCTGTCGTCACCCTATCGCCATCGGTTTCCATTTGGAGAAGGGCATATCCTCAACTTCACGTGCTCCCTCCCAGTAAAAGACTCAACCCAAGGCAATATTTTCATCATCTCCAAGTGCGCCGGGTGAATACTCACCTCAAGACGACTAGACGTGGGCCACCTAACCTCATCCAAGCAATCGCACTCCAAACGTCGATGAGTCAGGATCCGCACCAACTTACTAATGTCCAACAATAAAAGTCCCTATCCTTGACTATGAAGACCCTTGTAGTCTTTGAGCCCATCTTTTCTCTGACCTCCTCCAGGTCGAAGCTCCGCCAGTCCTCGGTGCTCAGAATCTGCAGCAAGCAAAGTGCCTCTGGCAATGCCCCCTTTTGTTCGCCTATAAACGCAGGCGCAAGGTTCTAGCCCAGCATACCGAGCATGTTGAGGCTGATGAAGTTCTAGGCAGCCATGCTTGCTGCCGAGTTGAGACTCGTAACATTTTGAAAAGCCTTGCCAAGACACTGGACCGCATTGATGGCCCGGTGGACTTGATACCTTTCCACCAGCCTCAACAACCTGAGCATTGCCGTGAACGTTGCGGGCGTGTACCACTCTCGCCGCTTCGTCGTCTCAAGGAACCGTCCAGCAGTACTCGCAAAGTCTAGGAGCGCTCTCGCCGTCAGTGCCAGGCTGGCTGCGTTATCACCCGGTAACCGCCTCCGCAGCCCCCCGCAGTCCTGGACACGATACCACAGTAAACCCCCCATGCTCATCGCGAGCCTTTTACACGCTGTTTGGCTGTCGGTCTTTATTCTGTGTATTATGTTCTCTTCGGCGGAGGCACCATGCACGATAAGGTATCTCAGAGGTGGCAAGTGGAACTAAAAGTTCACAATTATAGAGCCGCAGATAAATATGACACCCTTGCCACCCGTCTTGACCTTGGAATTGAGATCTTTGTCTGCTAAATGGACGCCGTGATAGTCTATCAGGCCGCGGGTACTGTTGGCAAGGGGCAGCCGAAAGGCGTCTTCTGATAAGGACCTTCTGGGAGGTAGAACTTTGAGTTTTCTAGAGTGAACGTTGATCGCGGGGCATCTACGGCCTTCCATATCCCCTCTATATCGTTTTGGTTCATTTTCAGACTAGCCTTGGTCATTTGCATCTTCTCGATATTCTCACTCAGTTGTTTACGGGGGTTTGATAGTATGGGAATGGTGAGAGTATCGCGGCTGCCCCTTTAGTTTAACAGGGCTGATTCCATAGTCTGTGAAGTTAAACTATGTGCTCCTTTGGTGACTTGGCTAATAGACAAGTTTTTTTGTTTCCATTCGCAAGTGGTGGAACTGCTCACAAAACATTTTCATGGAGATTTGTATTTGTGACTGTGATGCCATCTCCGAAAGCAAAAGCGAGCTCCGTAAGCCTTGGCCTTGAAGGGCTCATCGCCCGTTCCAGAGCTACGCAGATTCCTTTCTACCTCCGAAAGGACAGTACGTTTCTCTCTCTGGATCAATACGAAGCATTACACCGTCAGGTCAGCTCGTCTCGTTCATTACGGGCTTCGACGAGAGGTTTAAACCAGGAGAGGAATATTGCCGAGCCCTCTTTCAGAAACTGATGACTTGGACTCAACCTGTTTGTTGTTGTGACTACCTGAGGGTTTACTTATGATCGATGGTCTCAGCAAACTTTCTCCGTCAAGGTCTCACCACGGATAGTCGCAACATTACAGCAACATGTAGTCTGGCCCGAACATCAGCAACCTATGTGTCCTAGTCAAGTCAGACTCTATCAATTTGTTTAGACAAGATAGTCGATGTAAAAGTCAAAGAGTGTACAGGCGAGACAGTTATTTGACATCACAGTGTAGATTCTTTCATTTTCTTTCCACAAACGTATGCGGAAGGTTTCTCCTCGTCCGAGTCAACTACAAAACATCACAAAGTCAAGATGCACTCTTGTTTTGAAATGAACTTGGAGTTCAATAATTTGCGGTTGAACATGGGCATGGTGCAGTGATGGCCGATGCCTATAAGTACATGGAAGAGATTACCATAATAGAAACTCAACATAAACGCCTTTCCAACTTGAACCTTCAAAGAAGATGCTGAGCCAGCCAAGGAACCCCGGTGTAGTACCATTGAGCATTCCAAGGCAGCAGCTAGAGCTCTACAGATCCTTGAAGCCTCGCATCATCATCAGAGAATCCTGAACATCTGCTATTGCCTCGTCAGTCTCGAACCGCTTGTCTTGGTCAGTTCATAAGGAGTGTGTATTCAACCCCATCAACGTGTTCCCATCGTGCTTCATCATCCTCTCTTCTGGTAAGTATTCAGAAGTTGGCACATGGGCTCGGGGCTTCAATAGTACAGCATCATCATCTGGCCGGCTGATAAACCACTAGAGGAAGAGCCTTGACGGGTAAAGAGTACCAAAGCCGGAAGCACTATCAACGGTCACAATCGATGTATGTCGTTGCCGCACTGAAAGTATCATGTGTATTGGCTTCTCAGCGTATTCCCGAATACTACTTCACTCAGGACTAGTCTGGCAACGACGAAAGGATGTCGAAGACCGAAATCTGCTCAAGAATGCAACAAATCAGACGATCCCATCAAGTCATGACATTTCCTATGCTTCGACCAAGGGTAAGTGGCCACAACTATCCATAATTAATGGTGAACGGTGAGAAGTCTGATATCGTTGAAGCCTCATCAAGATATCCTCCGTACGGTCCCGAGTGATCCTACTTCCAGTGTACCCGACAGCTCCTTCTGAGCGTGGGCTCCTTTTGAAGCTGGCAGCGTCCTGTCTACTAGCTCGGCAGCGAGGCTCGTAGTCCCGTGCTGTTGTCTTCGTTTTTGCCCCCTATTGTCCACTTTGACGATTATCAGCCACCTACTGCTAAAGTTGAGAAAACCCAAGTCGTAGACTTCAGTCTACAGCTACGGCTCGAGTGGAAATGCGAGCAAACGCCCAATATAACAAGTCAAGTAAGCCATATTTGATGCGAATTTCGCGGAACCGCAGCCTACCCAGCAACTCCCGACAAGCATTAGCGAGCGAGGTGAGCAGCAATCATATTTGATCAAAATCATGACTGCTGTTCGCAAAACTCACATTTCTGTTTAGAAAACATGAAAGTTATGCCACTGCTGCGTGGCCGACTCAAGGTCTTCTGTTCGGGCATCTCGGAGACACAAAAGTCAACCTCAAGCTCTTCGACCAGGCCCAGGCGACTTGTACGAGCAGCAAAGGACCGAGAGGGCGCAAGACGCGGCCGAGAGTACAGGACCAGGCTCACTAGCCGGACATCGTGGCAGAGACATAACGGGGCGGCGCCCGCAGCCTCTACGTTTCCAGGTTCTCGGTAGATGTTGGGGGACTAGATGCACACTTTGCTGCATCGACCAGTAGGCAGATGAATTGCCACGGCGAACGACAGGAACAAGACAGCAGCTCGTATTCACCTGATATGACTGTGTCTTCCTCTTCTGCTGACACCGCCAGCCGAGCCTCGACCTTGAACCCCACGGCGACAACACATAGAAACACGGCGGTCTAAGCTACAGTCTGAAACTTTAGGATAATACGTCGGGACATTGGCCGATTTGTCTGTCTCTTTACCACTAGCGACGTCTCGGTTGTCGTAGGCACAACCAGAAAGACTCCATGTAAATTGATGGGAAAAAAAAAAAGAAGGACAGGGGCCAGGCCAGAAGGAGAGCTTCCAATCAAAAGAGGCGACTCGAGCAGTAAACTAAAGGATTAGGAGAATCATCATGTGTGTTGCGAAGGGCAACTCAATGAGACTTGCATGCGAAGGAGTCTTTCTGAGAGCGCACAAATGCCAAAAAGCAACGTGTAAGGCACGACACCGCCCCGTCGTCACCAAAGACAGTCTCAGCTCCGCTCAGCTCAATGCCAACCAAACCCAACGTCATCCGCTACCTTGGACTCGTTAAAAAAAAAAAAAAAAACCTGCCCCAGGTCTTACAAGCATGGTAGATCTTATCGTGAAGCATCGACCCAGGCCTTGATCTCACCCCCGATGGTCCTGTTGACATTGAATAGATCGGGGCTCAAGGGGTGGGTGGGATGATACTGCATTACCATCACAAAAAAAATACAGCTCGGACCGTGGGCTCCGGACCGCCGGCCGGAGGTGGGGTGGAGTCACTGGAGGTCGGCGGCGGGCGGATTCCATCTAGACGGGGGTTGTCAGGTGTGCGGATAGTCGGATCAGCGCGGGGCAGGGCTCCGAACGAGTCACAGCAGTTAGTACACGCCATTGTATCAGGAGCAGCAGCACCACCTGCGCCCCCTCCCTCCTTCACTGGCCTGCTTCTCAGCGGGGAAACTTCGTCACTACCACCGTGTTGGGGCGCGATTCTGCCGGTATGCCTGCGGTCGTTCGTCACTCAACACTCGCTAGCCAAGAGATAGGTGACAAAGTATCCGTAAGGACGCGCCAGTTTTCTCCATGTTGCCTCGGCGGGCGGTGTTGAGCGATCAGTGGGTAGGAAAGTGATCCAATCGTGCCAAGGTAAGCGTGCGAATGAATGTGTTCCAAACCGTAAAATCCCTTCGTCACCAGCCACCATCACCTTCTTCACTCTGTGCCTTCCTTGCACGAAGAGATTGCAGGTTAGATACTAGGATGAGCAATCCTCGTATGCCACATGAGGGCTAAACCGCTCGAGGCAAGAGTTTGAGGGTGGTTACTGTTGCTGAGGCTTTGCTCCGCAGCTCGTACTATGAGCGACTGCTCCACTGTGAGGTGGCCGACAATTGGTGTCTAATTCTAGGAACCTAAACCTGGAAGTAAAAGGATAGTCGCTTTGCCCCCTTCAGAGCGGTCGCCCGGAATGATAGGGGGCGCATGGTGAGTAATGGCCAATGTCTCCCTTACGAGGGCTGCATCATGTCAGTCCACGGTTAGAGCGAACAGCTGAATAGGGATGGTGTTTCCGGGGTGGACAAAGATGCGAGTCATCCGAAGGGGGGAGGAGCTCTGAAAAACGATGCGCGCCATTCTACTTAGTACGTAGGCGCCAACAGGCCATGGGAGTATAGGAAGCAGCAGGGAGGCATGGTACTCAAGTACTCTAAGGAATACGTCCACAGTGGGGCTTGCCTTTATCAGCTTGGTACGAAATTTGCCATGTCCATATCCGTAATGGATACCGTCTTCAGCTGCCTCCACTACTTGAGGCCATGATTAGCTTCTCTGACACCGGTATGTCCGGCTTGTCAAATCTATCAAACCAAAGTGACTGGCCAGCTGAGACAAACCCGGCTGGGTTAAATCAAAACCAGAACGAAAAGCGTCCATGGCGGAGGTACTGGCCTCTTGAAATCGAGATTACCGCCGATAAATGTCGAGGATGCACAAACCTGCCAAAACCCGCCCGGACGAGGTACGATTCGACGAAGGGAAGGCTGTGGCTATTGAAATGGCCACAACCATAGCAAGGACCAGAATTTGCACATCATCGGTGATACAGCTGTAGTGCCAGAAAGACCGAACGGTGCCTCGGTGTATCAAACGCAAGGAGTCAAGTGTTTAGTGCTGCCGCCACCTGTCGCTCCAGGCGAGACATGCCGTACCTCGAATTCCCCTTGCTTTCCTTGCCCTATTTTACGATTGCCGTCTGTCCGCCGTGCCCCTGTGCGCGAAAGTAGGCACAAGAGTCCAGCATAATCAGGCGAAAAGAGCAGTTACGTACAGTCCCAGTCCGACTGCTCCGCTATGATCTTCTATGAGTTT